TGTACTGTGAAAATAAAAACTAACTTTAAAATATTGGTATTTCATCTTGATCTCACCCTTTTAAATGTCTACTTTCACTTATGTTTGATAATGTACATAATATACTAGTACAATAGCACGTGTGTTTAATTGATAAAGAAAAAATATACATATAGGGAGATGTTCCAACTTTGTTTTATGGATCAGGGTGTGGCTCCCCAAAGCCTGGAGATCACTCCATTAGGAAGCACCAAAGCTGAATCCCCACTGGGTTCTCCATTTGCCCAGTCGTGGTTGACTGTCAGCCAATCACAAAGCTGCCGCTGCTGCACGGGCTACAAGGTCAGACTACTGCAGTACCTGGCTATTTTCCCCTCCCCCTTCCCAGGAAACACCAAGGAAAGAGAAGACTGCGTGCAGCCCTTCCCCCCCACCCCCAAGCCACACCTCCCCCCCAGCCTAGATCCAGATGAGGCACTGTGGCACTAGTAATACTAATAATAGTAACAATGATATCTAGCATTTCTACAGTGCCTACTATGTGCCAGGTAGCCTACTAAGTGCTTTACAGGTATCATCTCACTGGATCCTCACAACAACCCTGGGAAGCAGGTGCTATTACTAGCCTCATTTTACAGTTGGGAAAATTGAGGCAGACAGAGGTTAAGTGACTTGCCTTCTTCCCTCTGCCTTCTTACTGAGGTGGATACCCTGGTCTGTAGCCCTGCAAGCTCCCTTGGCATTGGACAAGAGGTAAGATGGGCTGGATCCTGCAGCCTGGTTAAGTGTCTGGGTAGTATGGATAGTGGAATGAGGCAAATGATAGTCCAGCTGTCCCCTGCCCCGATCAGCTTGCATCCGGGATCTTTCTAATAGAATGGCAGCTCCCTGAGGATAGGCCTGCTGCATTTTTTGTCATTGTATCTCAAGTACCTAGCACATAGCAGGTACTCAATCAATTGTTGATTAGAACACTTAAGGAGAAAGCTGAGGGAAGAGAGCACAGTGCAATTAGAATTCTTAAGGAAAAACTGGACAGGAACTAGATGGCTTGGAGTGAACAATGGCTGGAAACCCTTGGTAAAGCAATGCACCCCCTAAAAAGAAGAATGGAGAAGAACTAGTGGAACAACAAGGGAGGTTAGGGCCAAAGCAAAGATGACAAAATTGGGAGAAAAATCAGAGACAAAAACAACTGACTTGGAAAAGCAGGTGTAGGGAGATGCTTGAAAACTCACTGGTCTCTCAGAACTTGGTAGAACAGGCTAGTGCTGGAGACCAAGCCACTCGTCTCTGCCCAAGGGACCTGGGAATGTTTAACCTGGACAAGCAGAGTCTCGGGGAGGGGGGAACACAGGATGTCTTTCTTCAATTAAAAAAGAAGAACAACTCCAATTTTTGTAGTGGTTTAGGGTCTGCAAAGTCCTTTCCTCACAGCAGCCTGGTAAAGTAGCGACCATGAGTATCCTCACCATTTAGGGCATTGCAAGTTATTTGGAGGACTGACACTTCTGCTTGGTCCCAGAGGCCAGAACTAGGAGCAAATGGGCGAAAGAGGCCAATTCTGATCCTAATTATGTGAGCTATTCCAAAGTGGAATGGACCGCTCTGGGAGAGGGTGAGTTCTCCATCCCTGGAGATACTCAGATAATAATAATAAGGAGCAGCTAGCTGGTACAGTGGCTAGAGCACTGGGCCTGGAGGAAAGGGAACTTGAGTTCAAATCCAGCCTCAGACATTGACTAAGGTGTGACCTTGGGCAAGTCACTTAACCTCCATCTGCCTCAATTTTCCCAACTGTAAAATGAGGCTAGTAATAGCACCTGCTTCCCAGGGTTGTTGTGAGGATCCAGTGAGATGATACCTGTAAAGCACTTAGTAGGCTACCTGGCACATAGTAGGCACTGTAGAAATGCTAGATATCATTGTTACTATTATTAGTATTACTAGGCAGCTGCAATAGGTGCTGGAGATGAAATAGGGGCTCTCATCCTGGGTCCTCACATCATTTCCCCCTTAGATCCCTGGGTTTCACTCCAATTACCAAAAGTCCACAGGAGGGCGCTCTTTCCCCTTCTATCCCTGCCCCCCAGGGATGGGGTTGCTTTCAGTTTCAACCCCTTTCTGAGTTAAGATGGTGCAAAGGTCCCGTCGATGGGAGGGGGCATGGCAGGAGGTGAGCAGGTCCCGAGCACTGGATGAGATGCTTACTTCCCAGTTGACAATAGTGCTGACCCTTTTAATCCATATCTGTGGTGGGCTTGAAGGTTCTCAGACTATCTAGTCCGACCCCAACCCCAAAGAGATCCCCACGAGAACATGTTGATGAGCGGGCATCCTGCCTTCCCTCAAGGGAGGCGGAAGCTGCCACTCTTCAGAGAAAGAATTTTCTTCTATTTCTTCCAGTTCTGCAAATCTAGGCCCTCTTCCATGTGATGGCCCTTGAAATACCTGAAGCCAGCGGTCCCATATTTTTCCTGGCACTGCTCCACTTCTCTTCTCCAGGCTGAACTGTGCTCATCTGGCGTTGTCTTAAGCTCCTTCACCATCCTGGTCACTTCCCTCTCAATTCTTTCAGCTTACCAATGTCCTTTCTCAGCTGTGGCACCTGCCTAGAACTGAACACAATCCCCCACATGTGTCCTGAGCACAGGTTATGACCACTAGGTCTGGACACCAGGCCTCTCTTCACACAATCTAAGATTCCTTCTGATTTCTTGGCTGCCAGATCATAAAGGTGACTCATATTGCGGTCCACTAAAACCCCCAGGTCTTCCTCAGTCTAGCCATGCCTCATTTTTCTTGTAATTCCACCTGGCAGCAGCTAGATGGTGCAGTAGACAGAGTACTGACCCTGGAGTCAGGAAGACCCAAGTTCAAATTTGGCCTCCTCCCATACTTTACTAGCTGTGTGACCCCAGGCAACTCACTTAATCTTTTTTTTTTTTTTGGTCTCAGTTTGGGGAGAGCACCTATCTAGAAGGGTTATTGTGAGGATCAAGTGAGCTAATACTTGTAAAAAGTGCTTGGCACAGTGCCTGGCACATAGGAGGCACTAAAGAAACATGTTTCCTTACTTCCTGCTTGTGAAGGTGACTTTCTGAACTCAAGTTAACACTTTACATTTATCCCCTAAATCACAAAGCACTTTCCATCTGATCCTCCTAAAACCCTTTGGGGGTACTACAGATAGTATTATAATATTGTTAAGAAGGAATATTTTATATATTATATATATATATATATATTCTCTATAATTATATAACATAATTATATATGATATGTTCTATTTGCCATTTTACAGATAGAAGGTTCAGTGATTTCCTCATGCCCACACAGCTAATGGCAAAGGCAGGTCTCTCCTGCCTCCAGGGCCAGTGGTCTACACTACACTGTACTGCCGTTGCCAAAGTAACCCAGTCCTGGAGCACAATGTCAGGCCTTCAGACTCCTCAGCTTGGAAGCCATCACTGGGTGTCCTTTCAGGGAATGTTTTGCTACATGGGCCTCAGGCTGGCTGACTCTGACTCTGTAGGTGCTCATAGACTCCTAATGAGTCCTAGAAAAAAGCTGCCTCAGCTTTGGGCCTCCTTTTCTCCACTTTCACTCATTCCTCAGCTTCAACACCATCATTCAACTGAAACTGCTCCCTAAAGGCACAGCCAAGTTGTTCATTGCTGATCCAATGACCTTTTCTCAGTCCTCATCTTGACCTTTCTGCAACCTTGGACACTGTAGACACTCTCCTCTTTGGCTTTGCATGGTACTGATCACTTTGGCCTGGTTCTCCTCCTATCTCTCTGACCACTCCTTCTTAGACTCTTTTGTTTCCATCCCCCCACCCACCTCCACCTCCCACACCTGCTAACATGGACAAATCTCAAATCTTCATCCTGAGCCCTCTTCTTTGATTGGGTGTAGGGAATGGGGACAGGGATGGAGGTGGGGGGAGAGGGCAACACCCAACTCAATATAACTAAGTCTAGATCCCTAGTCTTCCTTGGTGCATCCTGAAGATTCTCCCTTTTCTCTATTTCAACTACTTCAGGTGGCATTGAGCTCCTCAAGGTGGGACCCATGGGATCTGAGCCCTTCCCTGTTTCCTGGGAAGTTGAGACCCTCTCCAGCCCTCCTCTGGCTTCCTTTTGCTTTCCCCACCTCCCCCCCCCAATCTCTTTTCTTCACTGCTCCCCAGGGGTCCCTAGCTATGGCTCTCTGGCTGGGAGAGTGCTTGCAATGACCCACCATGGGATGCTAGGCTCTCTTGGGGTGACACACCAACCTCTCAGGTTGTGGCACTGGTAATACATTTCCCCTGATGCATTCTCCCCAGACTCTTGGCATATGTCAGCTCAACTCTAGCCAACAAAGATTTACTAAGTGCCTACTATGTGCCAGGTTCTTGGCTAGACACCAGGGTTACAAAGACAACAAGTGAAAAAAGGACTGCCCCCAAGGAGCTTCTACTCTCCTTGGGAATGTCAGCATAGGCATTTCTGGAGCATCACACTATGGTTGCTGGGTTCCTGGTATGGGTCCCTAGGTGGGGGGTCTACGATTGTCAGGTGCCAACTCTGCCACCAACTAGCTGGGTGACCTTGGGCAGATTATTTTACAGTTGAGGAAACTGGCTCTCATATGAAGCAAGTATTCTTGAAGGTTAGAGATTTGGAGCTGGAAGGGACCTTAGAGACCACTTAATTCAACCTACCTTTTACAGATAGGGAAACTGAGGCTGAGAGGTGAAGTAGCTTGCCCAAGGTCACCTAGATCATCCTTCCAGCTCTAACATTCTTTGTTCTATGTTCTGAGGTCCTTCTCAGCCCTAATATGCTCTGCTTCTACAATGCATTATCTTATGAATGAGAGACAGAAGGACCCAGGGTGCAGCACAGGGTCCCTGGCCCTCCCCTCCTCCTATCATGAAATCCATTTCCTGGATCCCTTACTCAAACTGGGGGGGCAGGCTTAGGCTGGGGAGGGATGGCCCCTGAGGGTGACACTGTCTCCTCTCTCCCCAGGCTGTCTACAAGGCCTGGCTGTGCTCTGAGTACTTCAATGTGACCCAACAGAACTGCCATCCCCGGGTGCCATGCAAGCAATACTGTCTGGAGGTGCAGACCAGGTGCCCCTTTGTGCTCCCCGACAATGATGAGCTGATCTATGGAGGGCTCCCCGGCTTCATCTGTGCAGGTCAGGGGGGAGGGGCACGGAGGGCACCAGGTAGAGTGGGGGAGGGGAGGGCAGAGGGCATGGAGAGTGCCAGGTGGAGGAGGGGAGTAAGGGTAGTTGGGGTTGGGGGAGAGAAAAGTCAGGCCAGGGCAGGGAAACATTTGGATTGGGAGCAGGGCCAGGGCCTCAGCCAAGGGACTCACTGGGTGGCCACCACCTCTTCCCCCCCCACTGCCCCTTGCATCTCATATTAGACTAGAGGAGGAAGGGAGAGCTACGGGCAGAGGACAGGGCTCAGTGTCTTTGGGAAGGGCCAGGCTTTGGGAAGCAGTTGCCCAGGCGAGGCCTGGCTATCGCTCCCCAGCTGCCAAGCCCAAGCCGCCCACTTGTCTGTTGGCAGGGGTGATGGAGAGCCCGCGGGGCCCAGAGGAGGCCGAGTGCTGTGAGGTGGACTTGAAGCCCTGTGCCTCCCTGGGGGGCAGCAAGGGCTCCTCCTGGGGGGGACAAGCATTCCCCGAGCCCTCCCATCACCACCTGCTGGCCCCCTCAGTATACAGGCCCTCTTCGCTGCTGCTGCCCGTCTCGGGGGGCTCCTGTCTCAGCCCCAGCAGGATCCGCCTGTGCACCCTTGTGTTCATGCTCATGCTTCTGCACATCGTGGCAAACTTCTCCAGCAGCCAGAGTGCGGGGGGCCTGGGCCTAGAGGTGCTGCCTGCCCTAGGAGAGGGCGTGTCCAGAGAAGAATGACCCCCAGGGAGGGAGGGGGGGAGAACACACCTCCAGCCAGCACACACCGCCGCCACCGCTCCTGCTAAGGGCCCTCCTCCCGGAGGAGGTGCAGGACCAGGTGGAGGGGGGAGGGAGGGGGACCCCCAACCCAAGAGCTGCTCCAAGGTGGGGGGAGCAAGCAGGGAGCTGCAACCAGCGCCCTCCCCCAAGTCCAAGCCAAAAAGAGGGGAAGAGCTGTCCCCAGGAAGCAAGCCGCTCCCCTAGCCCCACCCCCAGGCCTGCAGGTATTCGGGGGGGTGGGTACTGAGGAGAGCAGGCATTCCCCCTACTATATTTCTGGTGTTACCAGGAAATCCTTATTTCCCACAAACCCCGACCCCCCAACCCACACGCTTCTAGGAGTTAGCTGGCAATGCCCTCCCTTCTCTCAAAGCCTTGCACCCTTCCTCTTCCTGGGGCCAAAGGGAGGGAACAAATGGCTTCTTCAGCTTAGGGGCGCCCCACTGCTCAGGAGGGACGAGGAGGAAGGGTTCTGTTTGAGCGAGAGTCCAGGGGTGGAGGGAAGGGTTATTGAGGGAACTGCTTAGGAAGGGGCCAGGGAAGGGGCTCAAGGAGATGGGAGAAGAGGAGTGGAAATGGGGCTTGGCAGACACAGGAAAGGGGAGATTCAGGGACTCCGAGTAAAGCCCACAATAGTCGTGGTTATTGGAGAGAAGAGAGAAAGGAAGGCACATAGGCTATGGCGCCTGGGAGGCTGGACTGTCCAGAAAGCCTGCTTGCAGACTGGGTAGTCTCTGTTCCCCACCCAGCTGCATTGAATAGGAGGCCACCAGCTTAAACCAGAGACCCAGAGAGAAAGCTTTATGGCCGGAAGGCAAGCAGATGCGCAAACACTTTCCCTCCACTTGGGCTCAAAGATATAGAAGCCTTTCAGACTCAGTTTGGAGGGCCATGGAGAAAGTGGCTCAGGGTTAGAATCGGAGGCATTTAAGGGGCCTGGTGCCCCACAAAGGCTTTTCCTCTGGCATTGCAACCCAATCTTCAGTGAAGGGAGGGCCCGGCGCTACCACTGAGGACTGAGACCTGCCTGGGAGAGCCTCCCACCTGACCTACCAAAGACCAGATTCAGTAGAGCTTTGTGCCAACCACCCATTTAATGGGCACTTGAGGGAACAGTGACGGCCCCAAGCCTGGAGGCTGGGCTGGAGTTGGGACATTCTCTAAGCCTTCAGAGCATGGAGGAGCTAGGACCCAGTTCAGTTTCAGCAGGTTCTCAGCCAATTAGGGTATCTCACCCAAGACCCCTGAGAGCTGATACTGGGAGCCAATGGGAGGGGACCTGGGGATTGCAAAAGGATTGTGGGTTAAGGGGGCCTAGAGCAGATGGGAGTGAAGCAGGTCTGGGACTGCATTCAACTAATGGACTCAGGGAGGCTTGGATGTGCAAGGGTGACCTACAGAGCCCAGAGTTGGGGCCCCAGCAGGCTTGGCGTGAAGCCCCAACTCTGTCCCTGCATTTCCCATCCTCAGCTCTACTCCACCACCACCCTCCCTGCCCAGCAGGCTCTGAAATCCTGTAGCTCAGCCCTGGGGTCTAACCAGCCAGGGAGCTAGCTCTCTTTGGCCCAGTTCTCAGAGATGCTTTTCTTAAAGTATTTGGATGGAGAGTAGAGTGGGGCTCCAGAATAAAGAAGACCCTCTGCAGGTGGAGCCCAGGGTAACAGGCTTGTGGAAACCAATAGCACCTCCTCCCCCACCCCAAGTGCCCAGGAGATGCCCAGCTCAGACTAGCCTAGGTGGGCTGGGGGTGGCCAGGAGGCACCAAAGTCAACCTTGATGTCATTCTTTCTACTTCCCCCATCGTTTGTGAGCTGCCCTCCCCTTCCCTCTGTCCCTTCCCCAGCTGCTTCCCTCTGCGCTCAGCTGGCCAGAGTCTAACGCCATTTTCTACACTGTGCTTCATGAGTAGGACCTTTCTTGCACTAGTTCCTATGATATTCATTTTCTGAGCCATTTGCCAAGAGCTCCCCTTGCCCACTTGCCCACCCGCTGCCCTCCCGCTAAAATTCAGTTGTCTCCTCACTCTTATATTCTGACTGTGTTCAGTCTTTGTGTGTGTGTATGTGTGTGTGTGTGTGAGTGTGTACCTGTGTACTGCTTTTGGTTTCTGTTGTGCTGGGGGTGGGGGGTGGGGTGGGGTGGGAACAGAGGCTCCTCAGCTCCCTGTTAACCCCATAAAGAAATAAAATGGTAAGACTTGATGATAACCTTCTGGCTTTGGTTTTCCTCTGTGCCCTGCTGGCCTGGGCTTCTTGGGAAATGGGGGTGGTTCTGGAAGGGTGCCCCTGAGATGTCTGAGGGAGCTCCTTCCTGCTCACAGAGTCTTCAGGGAGGGGATCCCCAGGTCTGGGGAGGTAGAAAGGGGCCCCTCTGGCATAGAGTTTGACCTGAATGCAGAGCAGGGCATTGCATTTGAACTAAGAAGACCTGCCCTGGCAAGAAAGATGCTTCTCTACTCTGAGCCTCAAATTCCTAATATGTGAAATGAGGATTGAACTTGGTGATCTCTAAGATACCTTCCAACTTTCTGGTTATGGCTGGCCTGCAGACCCTGCTTGCTAAGGCTTTGGGCCCTCTCCCTTCCCCTCTCTCAGCCTCAGTTTCCTTCTCTGTAACTTGAGGGGGTCACCAGCTCTGACATCCTCTAATCCCCAGTGTTTCTCCCTTCTCTCCAATGCCAAGGAGCTCTCTTCTCTCTTCTTTGGGGCTTCTCTAGGCGGCTGCTCTCTCCCCAGCCCAGGACCTCCAGGTGGTACTGATGCCCCTCCCATCAGGCCTGGAGATACAGCTGTCCTGGGCTGGCTGGGGAGAGAGAAGCTACATTTCCTGCCTAGGGACCCAGTGGGGTTCTGGAGATAGCCCCTCTGGCATTCAGCTGCTGGCCTCCCCTCGGGTGAGCTAGCCAAGAAGGAGGGAGTGGGGAGCGCTGGGAGGGGTGGATTCTCCCTGAATGAGGACTCAGGGCCAGATGGCCTCCTTGGCAATTGACTTAACCCTCCCTTAGAGCAGCCGCTCATTAGATTGTAAGAAAAGCCAAAGGAAACCCCCATCGAGAAAAGATTGCCAGGCCATTTGCCCACCTGCTGTTTGAGTGTGCCAATGTCTGTAGGTGAGCATACTAGGGAATATGCCAGTTAGTGAAAACATATGCATTTGTTCACTCATTTTTGGTCATGTCTGACTCTTTATGACCCCCATTTGGGGTCTTCTTGGCAAAGAGTGGTTTACTATTTTCCTTTCCAGCTCATTTTACAGATGAGGAAACTGAGGCAAACAGGACTAAGTGACTTGACCAGAGTCACACAGCTAGTGAGCATGTGAGGCTGGATTTGGAACTCAGGAAGAGGAGTCTATCCACTATAGCACCATCTAGCTGCCCTAAGCACATGAAAAGCCAGGTGACTTCAAACATGACAAACTCTATATTCACTTTCCCCTCCCCTCACTCTTCCTCTTACCCCTGGTTCTTCTCTTAACTCGCTGACCACTTCTTCTCTGTGCCTCTGACTGGGTCCCCATCTTTCTCCCACTTTGTTCAATGTGACTGATCCCCAAGGCCCATTTTCTATGCTCTCTTCTTGGGCTACACTCTCACTGGGGCTTCAGTTATCCCACATACATATTTCCAATCCTGCCTCCCCAACTTTCCCCCAGAGTTCCTGGGGCCTGACTTTCCAACCGTCTTCTAGATAGCTCTACCTGGGTGTCGCTTGGGCACCTTGAATTCAACAGCTCCCAAAGTGAACTCATCCTCTTCTCCCAAGCCCCCTAACTTCTCCACTTCCCTTCTTCCAGGCACCAGGGTTCATAACCTCAGCAGCATCTGGGGCTCTTCTGTCTCCCTCACCCCCTACAGGCAGCCCCCTTGCTGATCCTGCCAATTCTGCTTAATCCCATAGCTCTTGGCTCAAGCCCCCTCTCTGCATCCCAACTGTTACTGCCTAAATTCTCTCTGCCTAGATTACTGAAGAGGTTCCTAGCTAACCTCTCTACTACCAGTCTCCCCCCCTCCCCCCCCCCCCCCCCCCCCCGCCCCACTGCACAGTGCCTCCAGTACTTAGCACAGTGCTTGGCATACAATAGGTGCCTAATAAATGTTTCTTGCTTGATTATTGCATTGCTATGATCATATTACTCTACCCAGTTGAAACTCCTAATTACTCTTTGTGTGATCTTGAGCAAGTCACTAATTCTCTCTGAGCTTCACTGTAAACTCACCTGTAAACTGAGGGGACTGGACTCAATGCCATTTAAGGTTTCCTGAAAGTCTCTCAGATCCTCAAAAGTTTGAGTCCCTTTCAGCTCTGAGTCTATGACCCCATGAGCGTGGCCCTGTGCTAAGTACTGAGATTACAAAGAAAAGCATGCTAAACAATCCTTGCCCTCAGGGAGCTTACATTCTAGCAAAAGGAGGAAAGGTGGCATATTCAAAGGAACTGGTGTGTCTGGAGAGATGTCCGGAAAGTTCTATGGAAAACCAAGCAAGAGAAGGCTAAAAGCTGGCCTGCCAAAGCCCGGGGAGGTTCCAGATTCAACAACTCTTGTAGAGTGGATGTGCAGGTGGAGGTGGCCTGGCTGGAGATGTTTGGGCAGAAGGCATCCGGGAGCCTTTGGGAGCTGGCTCCAGTGTATGTCATTCCACTCCTTTTCCTGGAGGCTACACATCCCCCTAGTTCCTTCCTTCCCTCTCCCATCCCTGCGCCTTCGCTCTCAATGTCTGTGACATCTGGAATATGTTTCCCACCTCTGTCTCTTGAAGTTTCTCCTCTCCTCTAATCACCAACTCAGGCATCCATTCCTTCAAGGAATTATAGTCAATGAAGATTTCTCATTCTCTTAGAGAATGAACGTTCTGGGCTTTCTGCTAGGTGCTGGGAATGCAAAGGTGAAACCAAGCCAGTCCCTGCCCTCGAGAGACTTGCATTCTTATGGGGAAGGGGAATATAACATGTGCACAGATTAGTAAATACAAAGCAACTGCAGGAAAAAGAGAGAATTAGCAACTGAGGTAAATCATGGCAGGCTTGACCAGGATACAGGCCTAAAGTGAGCATTGGAAGGAGCAAAGGATCATTACAGGCCAAGGTGAAGGAGAGCCTTCTACAAGTAAGGGAGACTGCCTGAACAAGAGTGATGGAAGGGGAGGCCAGAGAGGATTCCAGTTTAGCTGGGAGTCCACCAGTAAGTCAATAAACATTTATTAAGCACCTATTGTATGCCAGGCACTGAGTTAAGTGCTGGAGATCCAAGAAAGTCTGTCCTCAAGGAGATTCTAGTCTAGAGAGATAAGACAGCCACTTACAGACAGGGTAAACTGGAGGGACCACCAGAGGAGAGGCACCTGCTTCCAGCGCGATAAGGAAGGTGGGATTTTAGAAGAAAGCTGAGAGGCTCAGGCGTGGGGGTGGGGCAGTGAAAATGCTCAGGGTTGGTAGATAGAGTCTCATGTGGGAGGAACATTGAGGCAGCAGTGTCACTGAGTCACAGAATAGTCTGCCAAGGAAGGAAGGGGCCAAGCTATGGAGGGCTTTAAAAGCCAGACGGTTTCAGTTTGATCCCGGAGGCAGTAGGGGAGCTGTGGGAGTTGCTTGACAGCTGAGTGGATGATGGCCAGGTGGGAAGGGACTTGAGGCGGGCATTGCACTAGTCCAAGCACTCAGTGATGAGGCCAGGGCCAGGGCAGGGGCAGAGGAGAGAGATGTTACCGAGGTGGAAATGACGACCCTTGACAAATGACTGATAGTGAGTAATCGAGGATGGCCCTGAGGCTGAAGGTGACTGGGACAATAAAAAGGAAATTAGGGAGAGGGCAATGTTTGGGGGCACACAATTCAAGGTGACTAGTAAGTAGTTGGACATGCCAGACTGAACAAACAGACCTGAGAATCTTTCTGTGGTGATTCAGGACTGGCACTCGGAAGTGAGGTGGGGGAGCATTTTCATCCAGGTGAAAGCAGTATCTCTACTTCCCCTCCCCACCCCCCATGTATCACAGAGCTTTGGCTGGGCCTTCCCTTTGCACTCTCATCTGTCTCCCACCCAAGGACACTGGGCTCACGGGGCCAGGTGTGATTCTGGGGGATCTGGCACTCAATGGATCAGCTTCTTTCTTGGCCTCTTTGCCCATATCTGCACTGCCCCGCCTCCCAGAGTAAAACACCCATAGGCATAGCCTTGCATCTCAGTTTCCCCAAATGGGTACTAGCGTCCTGGCACACATGGTCAATGAACCACGTGGGTATCAGGTATGGGATGGACTTGATTTAACTGCTCTGAAAAATGCCTAAGGCTGCAAAGGATTCACAGGAGGCTTAGAACAAACGTAAAAACATAAAGTGTTCATTCAATTTCCATGGAAAGGAAAGGATTCTTTGTGCATCCATGGAACAAATTCACCTCAGACCTGCACTGTCAAAGCATCTCACATCTCCTGACCTGCCTTTAGCATGGCTTTGATCTTCTGGGGAGAACCCTCTTCTCCTCCAGGAAGTGAGTTGGTAAGGACAGCCTTTGCTTTAGGGAGACCTGTGCTTAACTTCCATACTTAAGAATTCTTGCATGTGGGAAATCTCAAACCAGATTTGCCCACAAATGAATCTCCAATGTTAGAAGTATCCATTTTGGGGACTGCTGATCTTTGGGCTGTGCTCAGAAAAAGAGACAGGAAGGCAGGAGAAGGAAGCTGGGAACTTGAAGTCCAAGAAACCCCTCTCAGGCTTGACTGATCGAGCACAGATCACTTGCCATGAGCTTCTCCTACATGTTGTCATTTCTTGCCCCTGGGGGGGGGGGAAGGGAGAAGGAGAAAACTCCCCTTTGCTCTCCTTATTGGACTCCAGTCTGGAAGTCCAAGGGGGAGAGAGTGTGGAAAAAGGCCACAGGGAAATAGAGTGAGCCGTTTCACAGCTGATTCTCAGATAGGAGCTCACCCTCCTCAGCCTCAGCCAATCTGGCAAAAGGAGGCAGCCCCCATGTCTGCAACCCAGTCACCAACGTAACAGTGTAGAAGCTGATCTCCATGGGAGCTGCCCTTCAGATCCCTGGAGCAGGTACATGCCCTATGGAGTCAGGAAGGTGATTAGAAAG